CCCGGCAGCCCCGGCAGCCCGGCCCCCGCCTCCGCGCGCCATTCCTGCGCGTCCCGCCTGCCGCGCCTGGCCATGGCCGGCCTGGGGCCGCGACCCGCCAAGGGCTACCGGGTGGTGCTGCTCGGGAGCGTGGCGGTGGGCAAGACGGCGCTCGCCACGCAGTTCGCCTGCGGCAGCTTCCCGGAGCAGTGCGAGCCGTCGGTGGAGGAGCTCTTCAGCAAGGTGATCGAGGTGAACGCGGCGCCCGCCCTGCTGGAGATCGTGGACACGGTGGGCGCCGAGCACCTGGTCACCCTCAAGGACCTGTACATCAAGAACAGCGACGGCTTCGTGGTGCTCTACAGCGTGTGCAGCGAGGCCTCCTTCGAGGCGGTGCGGCCGCTGCGGGAGCGCATGGGCCGGCTGCGGGGGCCCAAGGCCGTGCCGCTGGTGCTGGTGGGCACCAAGGCCGACCTGGACGCCCAGCGCCAGGTGCTGACGGCGCAGGGCCGTGCGCTGGCCCGCGAGTGGCGGTGCCCGTTCCTGGAGGTCACGGCCAAGAGCAAACTGATGGTGGACCAGGTGTTTACGCAGGTGGTGCGCGAGATGGAGGCCCTGGCGCCGCCCGAGGAGGAGGTCCCGGCAATCCCCACGAACGCCCAGGATACGTGGCCATCGGAAAGATTCATCGGCTGATATCCAGCGGTTCCTGCTTCATTTGTTCCCCGCTTTTCGTGATTTCTGAAGCTCACTATTCCTACTCTGCCTTTTAAAAGAAAGTTATCCAGCGGCAAACGACAGGTTACTTCTATATACTGACTCAAACCAGTGCTTCCGACTGCCCACAGAGCCTCTAAAGTCGTTGTTGAAAACTTTGCGACTTTGTTTACCTCCGACAGTGCTAGAAGAAGAAACCAAAAATCGATTTTCCCCCGTATGGAGAGAATACTGCCCTGTTTTTCAGACGGAATTTGTCATAGGGATTGGTTGTTTGTTTTTGTTTTTGTTTTTGTTTGGATAATTACAACTTCAAATGTCATCTGACATTTGAAATCAGTGAACATGAGCTACAGTTTAAGCTTTCGACTTCATGAGGCTTTCATGTGTTTGCCTCTCATTTACAGCCTTGAATTGTAGTAGTAATATTTTCCTCTCTGCGTATGTCTAAATATAGTGATGGCATACATAGCATGGTTTGAAGGGGATACCGGGGTACCCTGGGAGCGAAAAAATCAACTGTGTATGCACACGAAGATAGCTCAGCTCTGCCTTCAGTTCTGTAACTGACGTCTAGTCGATTTCTGCAGCTGTAAACTGAGTGAAAATAAAATAACTTTAGAAGTTGATAGTTTTTAATATTTGTCTTTCTAACACCTAGAGCTGTAATTCCCAAAGTTTCCATACACGATCTCTTTGCTCTTCAGTTATTCTCCGGGAAACAAGTTAGTAACTAGAGTGAAAACAGTATCACATCTTTTCGTGTTTCTGCAGACGTGCTTCAACACCTGGTGTGTTCTCTTGTTGGTCGCCAGAGCTGGATATGTTGTCTGAATGCCTGTCTAGTTCGGCAGTCACATGGGTACAGAAATAGAAGCAGAACGTGAAGGCTTGCTTTATATAGTTTTCACACAGTGATCAAGAGACTTTTCTTGTACTGGTTTAAAACTATGATTGTTTTCTGATTTTAAAATTTTGTCTCTGATACAAGTTGCTTGTGCTTGTTTGCACAAGTTAACAATTTTACCTCGACCACTGAAACAGGTTTTTCAAATTTAGGAACCTGACTTAGCCATTTGAACAGCCTTTTAAAAAAACAGACAAAGATCTGTGCCCGTAATCTGAAATAATTTTGTTAAAGGAAACTTATCTAGAACGTGATGGTTATACAAGGCTCTGGGAGTTTTACTTACATTGTATGTGATATTTAAATAGAAGAATGGATTTTAAAGCAAAAAATGTACTTTAGAACCTAACAGTGCCGGACAGCCAATTTGCCCCACAGGAGAGGGCTAGGCTGGGACCTCCCCTGCCTTTTTATCCCTTTCTCTCTCCCCTGGACATTGGGGGCAGGGGCAGCTAGGGTGCTTAGTTTTAAAGCCTTGAAACCCAGCTCACTCCCTGCTCTCTTCTGACCCTGTCTCCTGGGGTCACTCCTCCTGGCAGTGTTATCTCACACCCTCTTCCGGGACCATCATTTCTTTAAGGGGACATTTCAAACAGGGAGGAGGGGAAGGTGCCCTGGGGGGATGGGCAGGCGGGAAGCATCTCTGGCCTCAGCTGTCTTTGTCCAAAGCTGCCCCCTCCTCCTGCTAAAGCAGAAGGAAAAACCCAAGGCTGTTCCCTGACTGGGTGTGGAGGGTCTGGGCTGTGCAGAGCGCACAGGGTCCATGAACAGCATCCCTTCCCCAGACATAAGAGCTGGGCCTCAAGGACTGCAAGGTGGGGACCCCCCCTCACCCTGCCTGCCCTGCTTGCCCCCACCCCCCTTTGAAAAACATCATTTTTTAAACTCTATTTTGGGGGGGGAGTTAATTAGGTTTGTCTATTTATTGTTTATTGTTAATGGAGTTACTGGGCATTGAACCCAGGGCTTTATACATGCTAAGCATGTGCTCTACCACTAAGCTATACCCTCCTCTCTGCCCTGCCTTGCTGAGGCCTCCAGGGAGGTTTTGTGTCCCTGGATCCCAGGCCCTCTGGATATCAGGCCTGATGCAGGAAAAAATTCACAAAAAGCCATCTCTCCCTTTAAATTACTGGAACCACCTCAGACTACAACTTACATCCAAGTGTTGGCTAAGAGCCCGGGGCTGTTCCAGGCTGACTGGTCAACACGGGGAATGATCACACCGACGTGATCAGCTCTTGTGACCTCAGGAATGTGTATAAAGCAGTTTTCTGGGTGTATGCATGCGTGCGCGCGCACACACACACCCACACACACACACACACACACAATTAAAGACCTATGCACTGGATTTTCTTTCTCATTTCTAACTTACATATGTTACTTACAAGTTGCCTGCAGTCCCCCTGGCCTCAAGTGAGGCCTAAGTAACTTGAAAGTGAATTTGCAAGTGACCAGTGCGACCACTCGTCAGGGTGCCCTGGTATCTGGAGCACGTGCCCAGGTGGGGGACCCGTGAAACTGGCAGTCCAACTTGTTAGCTCCCAAGTGGTATTCAGACCTCAAGCTCTTCGCAGTCAGACACTGTTGTAAGATGTGTGCAGGCTCAGCACAACTGGGGAATGTGGAACTGGTTTCCAAAGAGGTTGGAACGTTCACATACCCACAAGCAGGGTGAGCACTCCTGATTCTCCAGCGCTCTGCAACTCGGGGCACGGGCAGATCTTTTTCTTGCCAATGTGTTGTGGTTTCAGTTTGTGTTATTCAGACCACTGGTGACGTTGAGAATTCTTTTGGAGGGTTTTCAATGGCTTTGATTTCCTCTTCTGTGAAATGCCTGCTCTATTTGTCCCCTTTAAAAAAATTTTTGGACTATAGTCAGTTACAACGTGTCAGTTTCTGGTGTACAGCACAATGTCCCAGCCATGCGTATACATACATATATTCATTTTCATATTCTTTTTCATTATAGGTTATTATAAGGTATTGAATATAGTTCCCCACCCTATACAGAAGAAACTTGTTTTTTTAAATCTACTTTTATATATAGTGGTTAACATTTGCAAATCTCAAACTCCCAAATTTATCCCTTCCTGCCCCCTTTCCCTGGTAACCGTAAGATTGTTTACTATGTCTGTGAGTCTGTTTCTTTTGAAGATGAGTTCATTAGTGTCCGCTTGCCCCCTTTTAAAATTGTGTGATCTGACCTTTTCTTCCTGGTTCTTGGAGGTGTTACCAGAGAGTAGGTTCTTGTCTCAGGAAGAATTCAGAGTGGAGGCACAGAAGTCAGGAAAGTAAAGTAGGGATTTATTAAGCAATAGGATGGTATCAAAGCAAGAGTGGGTAAATTCAGATGCTTGTCTGTGGTGAGTTTCTTTGGCAAGCTGGTTTTATGGGGTGTAAAGGTGAGTGGGCGGAATATCCCCTGGGGAGGGAGGGGTCATATTTCCTGATTTGCATACTAGCTCCACCTTCCCGAGGGGAGGAGGGATTTTTGTCCTCATTTAGTCTGGATCAGATGCATCATGGTGTGGGTGCATGATGGGTACTTCTTATCTGCAGGGCTAATTTTATTGTAATGAGCATATAATGAGGCTCAAGGTCTCCTGGAAGTCAAATCTTCCACCAACTTGGGCCTAGTTGGTTCTAACCAGCTTATGTCCTATCCTCAATGGCTGTCATTCTTTTAATGGTCGTGCCCTGCCCCCTTCCCTCCTGTCTCAGAGGTCTTACTCTACTCTGTGGTAGGCAGCCTCTGAGATGCCCCCAATGATGCCCACCTCCTGGTACTCTCGCCCTCATGTGAGGCCCTCCTTTCGAGTCCAGGCAGGACCTAGTGACTCTCATCTAAGGGATGTAATGTGACAAGAGTGATGGGATGTCCCTCCCAGATTATGTTCCAGATGCACGGATTTCTGTCTTGCTCATCCACTCTGTCTCTCTCTCGGAGCCCTCGTTCTGGGAAAAGCAAGCTACTGTGTTGTGACTAGCCCAGTGGAGAGGGGCACATGGCAAGGGGCT